AATAATATAATATAATTTCAGTTTTGAAAAAAATTATTGCTAGCCAGGGATATATCAGTGTCACTGGATATTGGTAGGGACACGTCCCTGGCGTCCATACTAAATTCTATGCCCCTATCTTGGCTTTATTAAAACCCTGTCTGTGAAACTGGGCCATTGAGTTATAAAATAAACACATCATCAATGAGGTGAGGATATCATTAGGCCTCATTAACATTAAGAGTTTGAGTGAAATATTTAGCTTTCGGGGTGACTAGATGAGCACTTCTAAAAGGAAAACAATTTCTGTGAGATCCAGGCTCCCACTGCAGAGTCCTTGGAGTTATTGAGATGGCGACTTGTTGCCCTAGCAACAAGAAATATGATTTCTGCGATGTTGAGCAGGATGCAGATGCCAGACACCGCAAGCATAAATATAGTGAACACCGTTTTCTCAGTTGGCCGGGACACAAAGCAATCGACTATGTTTGGGCACGGGTACGAATCACACTTTACCAGCCGGAACATCTTGTAGCCTGGGTAGATCATGTAGAAGAGATACATAAACGCAGATTCGAATAACACACGGAACAGCAGGCTTATCATGTATGTCCACCAAAGGCCACCGGTAATCTTCATCTTTTGATTCTTTATCTGCTCTAAGTCCTTTGGACTGGTGCGGCCAGCTTGGCGATACAACTTTTTGTCGATATGCCGACGATGTGCAATGTGCATGGCAACCAGCAGGGCGGGGGTAGAGACCATGATGAGCTGCAGTGCCCAAAGTCGGATGTGAGAGATGGGAAAGAAGTGGTCGTAGCACACGCTGTTGCAGCCAGGCTGCTGGGTGTTGCAGATAAAATGAGCTTTCTCATCGCCCCACACGCTCTCCGCCGCCACCACCAGAACCATGATACGGAAAATGAAGAGAACAGACAGCCAAATCCGCCAATGCCTGTGGAATGCCGGTTCACGCCGCTGATCACGGCATAAAAAGACGCCCAGTTCATTTTTGGTTCCAGATCTGCAAAACAGAGAAAAACTCCACTCTTAGCAAACTCTCTCTCTCTCACACACATTAAATATAAACATTAATATTTTTATTTAGCAAGGAAACCAAAAGTGGCAGTTTATATTAAGAAATGTTACTTAAGCACAAAATTAGCATATTAGACTGATTTTTGAAGGATCATGTGACACTAGAGTAACGGCTGCTACATCATATCATTTAAAATAGAAAACCTTTTGAACATTATTACATCTCAGTCTTGATTTAAGCCTTTTTATTACCACACAATAACCATATGACATAACATCTAAGAAATAAGGACCGTGTCTGACTCAAATCTACAAATATATCTTTGAAACATTGCATAACACAATAATAAAAATGTAATTGTGACGAATCTGAGACCAGAGCTAACAATGAACTTGTTCTGTGTAGGTTGGTACTTGCACAAAGTGATTTTTCATGACAACTACCTAAAAGAAGGTCTTTGACTGAAACCTATTTACATGTCACAAGTAAAGCAAATGCAAAGAGAAACATACAATTACATCTACAAAAGAAAACAGCCGTCGACCACCCATTTTCTGACGGACAGAGAAAGTAAATGAGAGAAAGAGTTGCAGTATTCAGCATTACCAGACTCCGCAGGTGGTGTTAGTGGCATGGGCAAAGCCCGTTCAGAGGGTTCTGAAACCCGCCGTGTCTCTGGTGTGCATGTGTATGCCTGTGTCTGTATGTGTGTACCTCAGTCAGATGGAGTGTCTCCGGCTTGCAGCCACCATTTATGAAGGAACGGACACCCATGTGACCGGCGAACTCAGAGCCAATGTCATTCTCCCATCACACAATGAAAGCGTGGGTTCAGTCACAGAACAAGAGTGTGTGCTTTGATGTGTGTGTTTGTGTTTGTGTGATATGGGTCACCGGGTATCTTCCATCTTGTACTTTTGCCTTTCTGCCTCATGGATTTATGTAATAATTTAAGCTCCATATTATATATTAATATTATATGCACTATTATAGGCAAACATTTTTTTAATTTTAGTAAACTTAATTTTCTATGTCTATGCAATTTGTCCAATGTATTTGAATTGACAATATAAAAAAAAGTTTGGATGTAACAAAGACTCAAAAAAGCTGATGTAAAAAAAAGGAACACAATTTAATGATTTGAAATTATTTACAGTGTAACCTCACAGGACCATGTAACATCTTTTAAAAACAAATTTAAACACTCTCACTATGAACTTAAATTGTATGTGTGAGTTTAGAATTGGTTAGGTAAGTTTAGGAATTATAAATATGCCAATAGTTTGGTTTGCAAACACCCTGAATCAATAATATGCATCAGTGTGAAAATTCATACAATTTGATGATGTCATACTGCAGGACATCCATTCATATCTTTAATGTTTTAATTCATTTTTAATACATTACTGATGAATATTACTATTTTATATTTTAATATTTTATATAATGGGATATCATTTAGTATATAATAAGAAATATTACTATTCATACTATACAAATGATTGAATATAAAGTGTTGTCTATAATGATAAAATATTTTAAAAGTCTTACATATCTCAATCAATGCATTTAGGGTTTTATTTGAATTCCTTTATATTTTGTCTCTGTTTGGAAAGTGATGATTGTGCTTTTATTATTGTTTTAGTGAAATACAATTATGGATGTCATCACACAGAATCTTACAAGTATCAGAAATCCACTAAGTCTCAAGATGCTGTATAAATCTTGACTTAAAATAGCCTACAGATTTATAGTTTCTCAACTGGTAGTGTTATGGAACAATTTCTTTATCTGATATTATTATGTGTAGTAGATATTCCATACACATGGAGTGGTTGTAAACTTTCTATATTAAATAGAGGGGAGTTTCACACAGGTCACTGTGTTTGGTTGGTAGTTGGTTGATTATTGAGTTTCTGGGGTAAACATGGTTGGTAGTTGATTATGGCAAAGGTTTAATTGGTAGGTTTAGTACTGTGTTTGATAGGGTTGATATTTGGCTGATGTTTACCTGCGGTTGGTGTGGTCCCTGAGCAGAAGAAGAGGTTGAAGTCGCACAGGAAAGGGTTGATGTTTCCCCAGTGCCGATTATGGCGCAGTACCGGAGCTTTGCATTGCTAATCACTCGTGTCACGCTGTTACTCACCCCACTACAAACATCTCCACACAAAAGATGCTTGTGCTGCCAGTCCTTAACCATTCAGATCAGATCCGAGGCATACACCCACCAGCAGAAACTGTGACGCAAATTATGTACAAACGCACATTTACACATGAACATACACCAACTCACATACACAATCATGTACATTAGTGACAGCAATTCTTTCACACACATTCATAGCCTCGAACAAACATGAAAGTTTAAACACACACCCAGTCTTTCTCTGCAAAAAGATGTAGCTATAGGCTACTTGTACAGCAAAACTGTTTTTAGATAGACCTAAATGTATTATATAAAAATCACTCCGATCAGTCACAACAGCAACTTCAAAAGAAAAGATAGAATTCGTCCAAATTGTTCCTTATTGTCTATTAAAAGCAGCATTTATTAAAGTGATATAAACTTGTTTATATCTGACATTTAAACTTCTATCTATCTATCTATCTATCTATCTATCTATCTATCTATCTATCTATCTATCTATCTATCTATCTATCTATCTATCTATCTATCTATCTATCTATCTATCTATATACATCACACACATATATATATATATATATATATATATATTTTTTTTTTTTTTTTTTAATGCAGGGGACATTCTTTTAACTTTTTAGCATTTCGCTTCCCAAAGGTCTCCACAAGGTGACCCATGAACACGAGCACCAGCACAGAAGCGCGGTAGCGCGCACGACCAGCCCCACCTACAGGAATTGTGGGAAGACATGGCAGCTTCCGCTGTTTGTGTTCAGGGAATTTCCGCACCGAACAGTCACTAAATGAATAGTGTTTAGTTAACATCATAATTCAATAAGTGTTACGGTTCGGTTTGTTTCGGGATGGAGGAGAGCGGCAGTGTGGACAGTGTCGAGTCGCTGTGCAGGTATAATATATAATTTCACATTAGCTTATATAATGTTTTTGAAACTTCTTGACAGTACAGCCGCTAACTCTGGCTTCATTTCACTTTCATAAGGGATAGTTTACCCAGAAATTTAAAATTCTGCCATCATTAACATACCATTGCTCCAAACTCGTATGACACCACTTATTTTTGTTATATTAAAGAAAATAAATATGTAAATATAGTCAATTATGACCGAGGCTGTCAGTCTCTAACATTCTGAATCTGCACTGTATGTTCAATGGAAGAAATAAAGTCAGTTTAAAATATACAGTTTTGGAACAACATGACGGTGAGAAAATGATGAAAGAATGTTTATTTCTGACTGAACCTTTCCTTCAAGATTTGAGTAAAGCTCATAGGTGTGCTTTAATCCACCTTCATCTTCTAATGTCCTTTCAGCTCCACTACAACCCGCTCTGACCGCTCAAGTGGCACCAAAGTTTCAGACACAGAGCTGCGGGTCAGTCAGAACCAAAGTTCAGCCCAACACTTCTTTTTCTGTACTTAAAACTGGTGTATGTTCCAAACTATTACTATTACCAAACCTCATATGTTTATTTTTCTTATTACAGAGTAAAGGAAGGACATTTGATAAGGTATTAAAGTGTGAATTTTTGCAAAAGACTTGAATAAAGCTTCAGTTTATGTTCACTGATCAAATTTTCCTCTATGCAGGTCTATAAGGACCCCGGTAAAGACGAACTTCCTCTTCTGGAAGAGGAACTGGTTCAGGATGCTGGTATGTGTGGCACATTATACTGACTGCTGTGCATCAGCTATTCTGATGGGTTTAATGTATGTGCTTATTGTGTGCTTGATCACAGCTAAAGACGTGACTTACATTTGTCCATTCATTGGGCCTGCTAGAGGATCTCTGACTGTCACTAACTACAGACTTTTCTTCAGGTGCACTGACAGGGTAAGAACCATGCACACATGCTGTTTCCGTACTTCTGGAGAGAATTTCTAAACTAAAGACTTAATTGTCAGGCACCTTTTTTGTGTGTTAGGAGCCGGTGTTTGGGCTAGATCTGCCACTGGGAGTTTTGAGCCGAGTAGAGAAGATCGGAGCAGCAACTAGCAGAGGAGACGCCTCATACGTCCTCGTCTGCAAGGTTTGCGAATTATTATTTTTTTGAAGAAGACTTGACATTTAACTATACATATATGTTTTAAAAAAACAATAATTAAGAATAAAGCCAAAAATAAAAATGTTGAAATAAAATGTACGAAAATGACAGACAAATAAAAATAATTTAAAGCTAGTTTGGAATATAAAAAAGCATAAAAAAATACTGAAAATATACGAATAAAGACTATTACAAAATATTAATGATAATAAAATCAGGTGTTATTAAAAATAGTGTTATTTTAACCCTTACTGTTGAGCGCTGATACATTCTTTTCCCTGGATGTTCGCTCAATGTATATGTGTCCTGTAGGATTTGAGGAACCTGCGTTTTGTACACAAGGAACCTGAGGACTCACTAAAGAAATCAGTGTTTGAGGTTCTGATGAAGTTTGCTTTTCCAGTGTCAAACAACATGGTGAGAAACATAAGAAGACAAAGAGCATATATTATTCCAGCATGCAGTATAGTACAATTAATAAACCTTATTCAACAAAATCTGCATCGACCTAAAAGTTATTAGAGCTCATAATTTCTCTGTCTGTATCCCTCCTTTCTCTTTGTCTAGTCCCTCTTTGCATTCGAGTATAAGCAGGTGTTTCCTGAGAATGGATGGAGGGTGTATGATCCACTGGCTGAATACAAGAGACAGGTACAATACATTGTGTGTTTATTCATTTTTTTGCTCTTTTTTGTTATATGCAATGTGATAAAATACAGTCATCCAGTCTTTATTGCAAAATAAACCCCTCTGTAGAGGGGCGAGGACTCTAATGTAAAGCAGGGGTGGATTGTATCACTCCAAATAGGATTGTTTTGCAATAATGATGGCTGGGTATACATGAATAATTGTCATTAATAATGACATATGAAATAATGGTTTTATTCTACAATATTTCAACATTATTTTTCAAATTTATCACTTGGTAATTATATAATAATATATGAGTTAGTATATATATATATATATATATATATATACATTGTCATATTTCATTTACAGTATTTAACAATAGTTTATTATTTTGAGACTTATAGAGTGATACAAGAGACATCTGGCAAAGCTATGTAGGATATTTTAAATCAATTATACATTTTAGTTGTTATTATACAAAGCATATTTCACTGCAGAATTCTGTGATTGACCAATAAGAAACAAGTATTTCAGAGAGTTGTGTTTTTCATTTAAATAGGGTCTTCCGAATGAGAGCTGGAGGATATCCAAAGTAAATGATCACTATGAGCTGTGTGATTCATACCCAGCGGCACTAGTTGTGCCGGTGACAATCACTGACGAAGAACTGCGGCGCGTCTCCAGCTTCAGGGCCAAAGGACGCATTCCGGTCAGTGTCTTGAGATGTTTCTGAATCTTCACACTTCAGTTTGTGTGTGAGCAATAATTCATCCTCAGTTCTCACCACTGAAGCTATTGGCTCATTCCGGTTTAGGTATTGTCGTGGATTCACCCGGAGAGTCAGGCTGCAGTGGTTCGGTCCAGCCAGCCGATGGTAGGTCAGAATGGTCGACGCAGCAAAGAAGATGAGAAACTCCTTCAGGCCATCATGGATGCAAACGCACAATCACACAAACTGTTCATATTTGATTCCAGACCCAGTGTGAATGCTGCCGCTAACAAGGTAAACACTCACTTTCTTTTCAAGCGTGTGTATTAAATGAAAGGAAAAGTTTTGACAGTTTGTGTTTTAGATGAAAGGAGGTGGGTATGAGAGTGAAGATGCTTATCAGAATGCAGAGCTGGTGTTTCTGGATATCCACAACATTCATGTAATGCGCGAGTCACTACGGAAACTGAAGGATGTCGTCTATCCCAACATTGAAGAATCTCATTGGCTGTCCAACCTCGAGTCCACACACTGGCTGGAGCATATTAAGGTGAGACGAGAGGTATCTCTTCATAATGTTTCTCACATGTTAAGAAACATCATGATGATGAAGATGGGACTGTGTATGTGTGACAGTTAATTCTGGCAGGAGCTTTAAGGATAGCTGACAAGGTGGAGTCAGGGAAAACCTCCGTGGTGGTTCATTGCAGTGACGGCTGGGACAGAACTGCTCAGCTGACCTCACTGGCCCTGATAATGCTGGACTCTCACTACAGAACCATACGAGGCTTTCAGATACTGGTGGAGAAAGAGTGGCTCAGCTTTGGACATCGCTTCCAACAGGTCAGTCAACTTACATGACCATAACGTCAACAAACAAGACTGTAAGGGGATAAAATGTTTGCTGTTTTGCATATACCTTACTTGTTAATTCAGTATTTACTATATAATGAATGCTTTTTTATGTATTGCACTACTTAAAACTCTGAAATTAAGTAAAAATAAAGTTGCTGGTAAGGCAACTATAAGGTAATGTAACAAAGCTGTGTGTAAGTCAGGTTTATGTTCTATTTTACCTACAAATTTTTTCTCATTGTTTTATTTTATTTATTTTATATACATTTTTGAGATCAAAATTGAGATCAATACATTGCCACTTTACTTTATTTTACACGCTGAACCTTTATAGTAGTTTACGAAAATGTTTATGTTTACATTGTGATTATTTGATTTCATGCATATGAAGCACTTTGAGTTGCATTCTATGTATGAAAAGTGCTATACAAATAAATGTTTATTATTATTATTATGAATACATTACATGATTTTTGTGTATGTAGCGAGTAGGTCATGGTGATAAGAATCACACAGATGCAGATCGCTCTCCGATCTTCCTGCAGTTCATTGACTGTGTCTGGCAGATGACAAGACAGGTTAGTGTAAAACACCCCTTTGGCTGACCTGCTTATGTCTTCAGTGTGTTGCTATGAGCTGTCTCTGTATAAGTAATACATTTTGTGTCTCTGTGTTTGAAGTTTCCTGCAGCTTTCGAGTTCAATGAGAATTTCCTCATAACAATACTGGATCACCTCTATAGCTGCCTTTTTGGCACATTTCTGTGTAACAGTGAGCAGCAAAGACTCAAAGAGGTGAGAGCGAGCCTACTCTTGGTTATAAATGTTTGCACACTTTGTATGTATGTAATTAAGAATATGAATGTTTAATAGATAAGGAAATAATCTGGTAGACGCTATTATCTTTAACTTACAGCAAAAAAGTGTGTTTCGGACACAGTAATGGTCATTTCAAAACTTTGAGATTTGTGTTTATTTAAAAACAAACACATATAACTGTGTGGGTCTAAGGGACTGTCTGTTTTTGTGTTTAGGAAGTCCCGAAGCGCACAGTGTCTGTATGGTCATTTGTGAACAGTCAGCTTGAGGAGTTTGTGAATCCGCTGTACGTACACTACCCCTCCCACGTTCTCTTCCCCACCGTCGGTATACGACACCTCCAGCTCTGGGTCTCCTACTACATACGCTGGAATCCTCGCATGCGACCACAGGTACACACGTGTGAATGGTTTTTAAATGAATGTGCAGGTGCAGAAATGACTTGGTTCATTCTCTGATTCTGCTTGAGAATGTGTTCTCAAAATCTTCTGATATTTAAAATATAATAATGTGTGTACTAGAGGTGTCCGTCATTACAAAACATCTAAGTATCTGTTGGTTTGTTGAAACTGCAGTCGGCAGTTTTTCCTCTTTGTCGCCATCTCTGTTCGAGTTCTGCAATTGCAGTCATTCGCGAAATGATCAACTTTACGTGAGTTGTACTTCAACACCCTCGACACGGCACAGCGTGGATGAACACAATGTTTGAGGAGAGTGTGAGGCTGTCAGTCACCGCGCCGGTGTGGATACTGGCATTTAAAAAATCCCAGATTATTCTTTTTGGAAGTATGACCAACATAATAATTTTCACCGGAAAATTCACCACTTTTGTACTGGTTCTGACATTGCAGTAAATCATGCTGATTTTCGCTTATAAGTTATCCTATCACGCAAAACCGTGCAAAATAAACTTTGTTCTCAAATTGTTAATGTTAACAACATCAGTATTGCATGACTACATGTAAGGTTCTTCTGATATTTATCCTTGTTTTCGCATGGGTCCGGTTGCTCTCTTATTTTTTCTGTATCCACTCCGAAGTCCGAACACAGTCTTTTGCATTTTACCACTGATAAATGTCCAGTTGTCACTGGTGATTGTCGTTGCAACCTTTCTGGATCCGCCATCAAATTGATAAGTCTAATTATATCAAGTGCTGTGAGAAAAGGCTATAAATCTCCACCTTCAGCATCCTCACACGCAATATAGCTTATACTAGCCGAGACTCCTCCTTTATGTGTACAGATGTGATGTAATAACTCAAAGACATGCTCGAATTTCCCGCGGAAATCCACCAGTACCACTGGAATTTAAAAAATTATTACAAGTATTGTAATAATTTACAATACTTGTTAATTTACAAATAATTTACAATACTTGTTAATTTACAAATAATTTACAATACTTGAATAATTTACAAAATTATTCAATTATTACAATTCGCTTTGAATTGAATTTTGCCTTGAATAATTTTTAACCCCCCAAAAAGCTACAGACTGCAGCTTTAACTAACAGGACTAGATCCTTCCATCTTTAAACCCAGCTATTTAGTTTTGATTGTCAATAAATATTACTCTATGATGTAATGAGATGGATTTTATTATCCATCACCTAAACATCTGACACTTTAGGTATGTACCTTATATTAGTTAATAATGAGTCTTGAAAATGTATTTTAGGAGCCCGTCCATCAGCGCTACAAAGAGCTGCTAGCAAAACGGGCAGAGCTTCAGAAGAGGGTGGAAGAGCTACAGCGCGAGGCGGCCAATCGTACGGCCTCGTCATCCTCCGAGAGGGCGGGGTCTCCTACGCGCTCCATCACACCTGTTCAAACCTTTGTATAGTTGCTCGACAGCTTTGAGGAATGTAGATCGCCACACACCACGTGAGCGTCACACGGTTCTCATGTTACTTGCAGTGATGCACAACTGATGTAAATTCACACACTAACATTCACCTCGCTGCTACAAGCTGGCTGGCTGGATGGAAGAAGCTTTTAATCACTAAAACCGTTGGATACTAGTATTATATTAATACATTTATTAAGACTAGTGAAGCATTAATACATGTTAGAAACATATTAGGGCTTGTACTGAATGAACTGTATGTAATAGAACATGACGAAAGCGTTGTGATTCTGCCTACATCATCTTGATGCAGAGGGAAATTTAGGCGAGTCTTTCTAGCCTCGGGGTTTTATGTACAGGGTTCTGTCTTTACTTGAAATTCCTAACTTTCTTGGGCTTGATAAAGATGACACTATCTAATCATGTTATGCATGATATAGAATATGCTCTATAATCTAACATTTGCTTATACATTAACATTATTGACCAATAAAGTGTATTGACACTAATTAAATGGTTACTTACTTAATTAAACTCTAGTGGTGCTATGATACAGCTAATCCACAAGAATAAAACACCTGCAGGATCTGGATCTAGACAATAAATGATGCGTTTAGCTCATGTAGATTTCGTGTGTTTACATACAGTTATAATTGAGCTAGAGCGATAATCATTATCTACTCTTTTAGTTTCACTTTTGTAAAGTTTTGCCTTAAGATTTTATTCAGACTAAAGCGTTTACATTCTAAACTTTTTAAAGTGCATGTGAATATCGATGAATCAGTGTTAATAACTATTTTTAAAAAAAAGCTGAAATAAAATATGAATATTACAAGAAAAACAAGGAAAAATGTTTACATGGCAAGTACAAAAATATCTACAGCTAAAAAAATGACTAAAACTTTAACTAAAATTACAATGAAAACTAAATATTAAAATAAAAGCTAAAAAATTTTAATTAATAGTATATTAGTATATAAATAAAACCAAAATAACACTGCAATGAATGAGGATAAAGGTGTCTCAGATGACATCAAGTCCTGATTATTTGTGTATGAAATTGTGTATTTTGCAGTTATCTGGTCCGAGTACAGCTAAAAGGGGGGAAATCTGTGGAAAGCACTTTTCTTTTTTTGCTGCAACTTTGGCCAGTGTTTCTTGACACTGCATCCAACCAAGCTGTTCTTCCCACAGAATATCAAGTGTCTGATTTATCTAATGACGGCCCCACTGTTGTCTTCCTTTAGCTGCTGTTTTATTGTTGAATGAAAGGTGGGGCTGGCTGGTTTGTGTGATCTCCCAGTCAGTGTGGATTTCCCCCACAGTCCATAGACATGCAGGTTTGGATATGGATATGGTGAATTGGATATGCCAAATTGACCGTAGGAATGTGTGTGTCCCAGAACTCTCAGTGCTGGGTTCCTTCACAAAGGGCATCCAGTGTAAACTCTATGCCATATCTAATGCGTGTGCTGATAATTCTGATGAGGCGGACCCTGCAAATAAGTGCGACTAACACTAGGAAATATATATATACCATTTGTCATGTAGCACATGCTTTTTATTCTAAAGCAAATGTGAGAAAACATGGTGTTAAAACCCACTAAAAGGTTTCATCATTAATTAGCACTGTGTTCCCAGTTTGCATTTGGCAAGTAAAATCAGCTTCCCAAACAGTACAAACAGACTGTTTATTTACACATTATCACATTCAGTTACATTTTTGAAATGACTCCATATTTGTAGAGAAGTACTTATAAAAACCATGAAAGTGCATAAATACAAGTTTATTTACAGTATTTATGTTGGTTTTAATTCCTTTGTTTCTGTATCTATGAGCTAGTGGCCCTGCTCTCTCTGTGCTTCACCACTTCCCCCTCTTGCTCCAGTCTTTAGGAGTAAAATGCAAGCATTTGGGATCAATGCGCAGGTGGCGTTTCTGCATGGCACGCTCGTGGCCTTCTACTATGTCCTCGGACAAGGTGAGGATATATTGACCCTGCAAGGGAAGAAAGCAAAATCAATCACCCTGAAAGGCACCTTCAGTATCTGAATTAGCTAATTATTCCTTTCCATTGCAAGTGATTTCTTACCTTATAGTAATTGATGAGGTTGAGGTATTGAAGAGTTGATATCACATCCTCTTTCTTGACACTCGTGATCTCACTTATTTCACTAAGAACAATAAAAGCGAGAACACAGCTGGAAATTTGTACCTTCAAAGCATTTGTTTAGTACAATACAAAGAGAGGGTACACACTTGATGGTGATCTGTGGCCGTTCTCCATTCTCTGATTTGAGGTCCATGAGTATCTCCAGAATGGTCTGGGACCAGTATGAGCGGTAGGAGAGCAGGCCCAAATCAGACAGTGGTTTCTCTGGGGTACCTGTCTTTCCTTCCACCTTTGAGAGCTCATAACCTTGTGAAACAATGGCCATGACATGATTTAGGGCTTATATTTCACAAATAAAATTGAGGAAAATGAGGCAAAATTTTTTACCCAACTAACCAAATTTGACTAGTCCTGAAGTGTAAAATTACTCACTGAACTCAATTAGCAGTTTTCCATAGCCTCTTCTCTGATAAGGTGGTAACGTCAGAATACAGGCTACATTATAGTCTTCTGTTGATTCTTTCTCCTTTAATAAGAGGAAAAAAGACAAAGGCGTCATGAAACAGAAATTATTTCTTATTATGATGTATATTCAATATATGATATACGTATGTCGCATATATGAAACAGCTTCTCGAACAAGACAAAATGTAGGCAGAGACTCGATTTTGTCCATCTGGAAAGTGGTTAGCTATTGCTGTGATGTCATGTTAATGATAGATTGTCCCACCCTCATACCAGTAAACAAATCACCAGAGAAGAGGAGAGATATCATTGCAAGTCATGAAAAGTTATTTTGATTAAAGAGGGCACATTCATTTAAAAATAAATAATGAGATGAGACCACAGATGCCGGCAGAGCGGGAATATACCTTTGAGAAGTAGCCAACTATATGGAAACCCTTTGAGTCGTACTCCGTCATGACATAGAAGAGGAAAGGATCTGTGTCGTAGTACAGGGTCTTGTGGTCCAGGAAGCATTTGGCCAATAGACACAAATTTTGGGAATATGCCTGTGCAGCAAAAAAAAAAAAAAAAAAAAAAAGAAGACCATCAAGAGACCACATTGATGTACAGTACATACTGCAACAGTGCTCAGGACATTATTAGTGGAAGGGATCATCCGAGTCTTATTACACACCTTGTTTTTCCTGCCATCTATTTCAAAAAAGGAGATGGTTCCTTTGCGGTAGATCTCATTTCCTGGAGGATGCCGAAGGTTGCATTTTGTCTGTAAAGGAGTAATTGTATATTAAATGTTGTGCAAATTATACAAAAGGTATGTGAAACTATACAATAACAGCTATTTAAAGATGTGGTCATAATTAGTAATGTCCAGTGAAATTTAGTGGGTCATTTCAATAGGAATCCTCCATGCAATTTAGAGTTTTACAGAAGGCCAGAAATGTTCAACAGAAAAGCTGCTTGGTTTGAAAGTGTTTGCTGCTAACAATAGTCTTTTTATTGTCCGTGAAATTTCACCAATGTGACCGCATCTTAAGGTTAAGTCTTGAAACTAACTCTTACCAAGTGTCTTTGAAGACATTTGAGGCTCTTGAGGTATTTGAGACAGAATTCACAGAGGTAGAGAATGGGCAGAGAGGTGAGCTCCTGTGAGTACGGGGAGAAGTACCAAGGCTTCAACCTGTGCCGGCCCAGCTCTATACAGTTTATGTTCTTCATTCGTGTCACGATGTCATCATGACTGCGGTCAGACACCAAACTACCGGTCATGCGCGGGGCAGATGGGATTCCATCTGAACTGTCCTGAGAATCCTAAGATCAGAGAGTAGTGTTAGGGAGAATTGAATGAAACATCGATAACATGAAAAAAATGTCTTTCATCTTTCAACGAATATTCGTTTTATGTAAATTATTTTGTTTTTCATTGTTATTAATGTCAGATTTGCCTGATTTAATTGTATATATATATATATATATATATGCTGCATTTAAAGAATCCATTCCATCAAGAAACTGTGATTCTTTAACAGCCTTAAAGGTGAATTCCACTATTTAGCACTTTGAGTCTATTTTCTAGTTTGTTTTGGATGAACTAGAGTGGTGGACACAGAAATTTGGACGATGGGTCCTGTCTTGACTTTTTGACTCTTTTAGAATCGCCTTTGACTGCTTCAGAGTGGCTGTCTACCGGCATGCACAAACATGTCCTTAAAACAACACTTAACGTTCTTTTTCAAACTCACCAAGTGATTAGTGGTGTTCATTGATGATTAAAAACAATTATATATCGGCGCAATGTATGATTTCAATCAGTGTAATTTGCTAGTATTTGAAGCGGTCAAAGGCGATTCTAAAAGAGTCAAAAAGTTGAGACAGGACCCATCGTCAATATTTCTGTGTTCACCACTCTAATTCATCCAAAACAAACTAGAAAATAGACTCAAAGTGCTAAATACCAGAATTCTTATTTAAGCCTCCATTCTGAGACACTCAGACACTCTACAAAGCAATGGGAAGTAAATGAGCCGGACCTCTCCAGGCAGCAAATAGACGTTGGAGCAGCGGGGACTGTTATTCTGGAAAACCTTTACCATCTAGAAAAACACAAGGGGTTGCAATGTTTTAGGACACTTTAGAGGAGTAGGGAAGTTGATGGAGTTCTATTTAATTGGAACACATTTGATGGATTTGGTTTTTGGTACAGGCTTGCTATCTCATTGGTAGTCAGTGTTGGTTTTTTAAAATAAACAAAGTTCCTTTATGATAAATAAAGGAAATGTGAACTGCCCTAAAACACATTTCCAATTCCTAACATCTTACAGTATCATGTTCTTGCCAAATAACAATGAAATGATGGATAATTTTAGGTTGCAGGACTTACCTCATCTGTCCCTCCACAACTTTTTCTTTTTCTCCCTGGCTGAGGAGGAATTAGATGACGCTGAATGGACATTGTGCCATTCTTCCAGGTGGAAGAAGCAGAGGAAAAAAAAACAAAAAACGTTTTATTGTTAAATAATATTAAATAAAATACCTTATACTTAACACCAGTAATACTCCTTATTATTATTATTTTGTATGCAAGAAGAGACAAACTGGTCTTTTAAAGTAATTTCTTACTGTTGTTAGAGAGGTGAGTGGTTCATGCTCCTCTCTGGATTTAATGCTGAAAGGGGAATCTCTAATTGTTGGATATACAGAGGCCTGACTCGCCTCTGCAGAACCAGGAAGTGAAGGCACTGGAGTCGCTGCGGTCACTTGTGTTGCCAAAGAGACTGACTCTGCTTTCCTTTTCTGTAAGATCAAACAGAAACGAGCGTTAGTTTTTAAGCTTTAAAAGGCACTAAATTCTTTCATATAGAAAACATAACCATGAGTGAACGCCTGCCACTTACCTCATGTAAATAACTAAGGAGAAATAAGTAATGAGA